TCAGTCTCTTAGGGTTTGTTTTAGAATCAAAATGTCTTCTTTCAAAATCTGTAGGGATTGTGAATCAGAAGTTCACACTTTAAAGGAACTGGGGGTATAATCCTAGCACTCAGAGGAAGGCTGAGCCAGGGAGTTCAGTTTGAAACTAGCTTGGGTTACATGAGATACTACCTCAAAAAAAAAAAAAAGTACACAAACAAATAAACAAAACAAGCATGGGGAGACAACAGAAATCTAAAGAAATGCACTTAAGAATCTAATGTCCTGAAAAGAGTGATAAAAAGAGAGGAGAGCTGCCTCACCCTGTATTATAAAATGCTAAGGTGCAGTTCAGAAGGGCACCGATCTTATCACAGGGGGCAGGATTTGAAGACTTGAAAACCATGAAGTCACACAGAAGGCACCTCAGGAGGAGGAAGTGCCTGGCACTCCATCTAAGGCACTGCCCCTGACGGGCAGCTCTGTCAGTCTCCACCCACCTCCAGAGTCCAAGTGACTCTGCCTTCTCAACGTCCCTTCAAAAGGTCCCCTCTCCTCCATCACACAGGCATTTCTCGTGGAATCCTCCTGACACTTGACATTGAGCTCCAGCCTATGGGCTTTCTTCTTCAAGCTACTGTATATGAAGCCTGGCCTTTCTAAACAGCGTTATCTGAACTGCACAAAATCACCCCTTGACCCCAGGAATGGTGGGCACTTTATATTCTTGGTTCAGGCTCTTCACTTCTGTCAGGAACACTATGCTTCTATTTTTGAGAATTCCACGCCACACCTTTCAACAATATCCTTCCCACACCAGTTGGCACCCAAGGAAAGCTAAGGAAATCAGAGCTTCCCTTCCTCTGGGATTTTGTTCCGATAGAAGTTGCAGGATTTTAAAACTCAAAGGCTACCGGCACCCGGCACCCATGGTTCCTGCCAAGTAGGGAATCCGTCCATGACCAGGCCATTAGAAATGAGAAATGGTAAGTTGTAGCCTTCTTGTGTCCCAAGTGCTAGCTTCCTGAGCCAAGCTGAAAGCTCTCGTTTTTCTGCTTAACTCTGGCTTGGATTCTCTGAACAGTTAGTTCTCTTTTGGGTTAAGCCAGCTAAAGCCACGTTTCCATCCCTTGCTGTTACACACGGCACAACTTTTAATTACTTCCTCCTGCTCCCCCGACACACATTCTATGATAAGACACTTACCAACCTGCTGGCTTGGCATGCCACTTCACATCCCTGCAAACACGATTCTTTCTAGGCCCCTGGGTTAATGTTCTCTGTGAAATCCTCCCAGAGTCCCCTAGATGGGGTTTGGGACCCCTATCGTGGTTCCCAGCAGCTTGTGAGTAAGTTCAAGTTCTTAGCGCTGTATACTGCAATTGCCCACAGTCACAGGCAGCTTGCCCTGGGTAATGGCTGCTGGCAGGGTGGTTAAGAACGCGGACTCTGCCACTTAGGAGGCAACCTCTCTACCTCTTGGGCAGCCCTGTGTGCCTCACTATGGATGCAGATACCAGCAACACTACGTGGGAGGTGAGAAAATAGATCTGTTATGCCCTCTGCTAAGACAGTGCCCAGCACTCAAAAGTCCTAACCATGGTTTGTCTTCCTAGCCCTTGTCTGGGGATGACTAAGGATTTCTTTGCTTGACAGGTTTTTTTTTTTTTTTTCTCTTCTCGAGACAGGGTTTCTCTGTGTAGTTTTGGTGCCTGTCCTGGATCTCGCTCTGTAGACCAGGCTGGCCTCGAACTCACAGAGATCCGCCTGGCTCTGCCTCCCCAATGCTGGGATTAAAGGTGTGCGCCACCACCGCCCAGCCCGACAGTTTTTTTTTTTTTAAATGAGTGCATCCTCTATTTAATTAAAAATGTTAAGTTACCAAAGTAATAGATTTTAACACAGCATTTTCATACATACTACATATATGTCATCATACCCTCTAATTTGCCCCCCACTTGCTCCTGCCTCTTTGTTTCTGGTCACCTGCCTACCCTGAGGACCCTCCCTTCTGCATTCATGTCCCATGTGTTTTATTACCCTGTTTTGATTTGTTTCCCCTCCCTCAAGATCTTTCCCTCCCCTGTCATAGTCTCCTTTACACACACACACACACACACACACACACACACACACACACACACAATCTAGGGTCTATTTATGGTAAGATAACATAGTATTTGTCTTTCCGAATCTGGCTTAGTTCATGTAACACAACTAACACTATTCTGATTCCATTTTTCCCCCCTGCAATTATGACTTCATTTTTCTTTATACCTGAGTGGAATTTCATTTTGTATATGCATCTCCTTTTCTTTATCCGTTTTTTTCTGGTGACTGACGTCTAGGTGGCTTTTTCCTAGCTATTGTGAATAGTTTTGCTTGACCTTTGAAGATCAAGCCAAGGCAGGGCTGAATGGGAATGTGGCACACCTAACTGGAGCTCCTGGGGTTAAAGAGGTTGGATGCCCCCAGGTCTTCCAGCAGCTACTTACTGGGAACATCTCAGACACTTAAGACTAGGGACTGGGAGGGAGCGGATGATAAGTTTTATTGCTCTCTCGAGAGCTCTAATTATTGAAAACTATCCCTAGCATGCATTCCCAGGTTAATGTGAATAAGCAGGTGAAATCAGAGGCTCTGAGCAGTTACACTATAGAAGAACCCTTGCATCCCAAACACTTTCACACTTAATAGCCAGACTGACAAATCAGAACTACTTAATATCAGTCGGCCCATCTTTCTTCTCTCCCACACAAAGGTTTTGGACAACCGGAAAATAAAGTCTATACACAGTGAGCTGCACACACCATGCCAAACGCTGCCCTGGAAACTAAGTATCACAGACTAAACTTCAGTCACTAAAGGTTTGTGCTGTTGTGTTGGCAAAGAAGAAAGAGGCGAAGTGGCGTGTAAACCCCCGTGAGCCCGGCGCCCCTGAGGTCCCTGGACTCGAGACTGCTTTGCCTAAAGCGGTGCAGCCCGACTGGGAGGGACTTCCCGGCCGGGAGCCTCCTGCCTGGCCTCCTGCCCCAACCCTGCCCCAACCCTGCTCTAACCCTGCCCCAACCCTGCGCGCAGCGGCTCGGAGTCATTACCGGAGGGCGGCTCTGGATTCTCCAGGCTAGTCACAGCTCCGCTCCCGGCCTCCGCAGACAGCATCAGGACCACCAGCAGAATCATGCTGCTAGCTGCGGCTTGCGGGTCCACCCCTGAGCGAGAGACTGCTTTCACAAGGTTCCCCCGCGGCCTCTGGCCCGGGACTGGCGTCACGTCCGCCGCGGCGCCGAAGTGTAGGGGGACCAGGCCGGAGGGATGGGCGGGACCGAAGTCAAAGTCTAAGCCTATGAGAGCAGGCAGGGCGTGTAAGGGGGCGTGGCTTTAGAGGGAGGCGGAGCCTTGGCAGGGCGAAGTGTGGAGGTAGAGGCAGAGGCGGACCGTAAGGGGCGTGGTCTGGGCAGAGGGGCGGGACCAACACGCGATTTGTAAGCGTTGATTGGAGATCGCGGACGAGGGTGGGAGTTGAGGCGGGGTCTGCAAGAGGAGGCGGGTCCTGGGCGGCTCTAAAGTGGATAAGGACGCCCGGCGTGGGCGAGGTCTGGCTAGTGGAGTAGGGCGTGGGCGGAAGCCTTAAACTGAGTTGGAGGAGGGGTGGACTACCCTGAGACTTGAAACTAGGCGTGCCTCGTCTGTATTCTGACCCCGGTTTCTGGGATACGTGAGGAACTCTAATCCGAAGGTGACTTTCTTTAAACTTGACACCACCTTCCGCAATTCCTCCTTCTGTTTTGGTAGTGACCTGGGGTTGCACACTTTTGCCTCGGTCCACAACCCAGACACCACGGTCATCTATCTCTTCCGTCTAGCAATCTAGGCGTCATGGAGTCTGAGGTTTTAGAAGAGTTCGGAAAAAGCCTTCCCCAATTTCTGCCAGTTTTGTCTGCGGAACTTGAACCTCTGTTTTTTTAAAATAGTTTGTGCGGACTCCCACAATGCAAATCCAATGTGCTTGGGTAAGCAATTTGTTCGTAGAAAAAAAACAAACAACTACCACAAAAAAATGCATGTCCATTTTAATAATGAATTGTCAAATGGCAAATTATTACGTAATCTCTCATCAAGAGATCAGCCCTTTTGCCTCTGTAACCGGACCTGTCAGGTTGCCTCTCTTCATTCCCTTACATTCACTTTAGTGCCCTTGCCCTTAATATAGACAACACTCTAGACCTATCCTCAAACAAGCTGCTTCAGTTCTCTGCTTATCACCATGTTTGCAAAAATTTTAGACTGCAACCCACTCTCCATTCTCTTTATCCCACTCTGTTTTTAAGGACACCTTTCTGCTCCCCGCCACACACACTGCATGTATATTCACATTTATTAATTTTTCTCTGCTTCTTAGAATTCAAGCTCTATAAGGCTGGAATCTTGGCATGGCATTCAGTCTTTGCTGAATGAAAGAAAGCCCTATCCTTAGGCCAACTGTTATGAAGACGTTGTGCAGATTAGAAATTATCAGCTAACATGTGCTATGTGTGTTACATAGCCCAGTATTCCTCAGACTTTGATGGCAGTATAGACCTTGGTGATCTTGTGCAGGTTCATATTCAGTAGATCTGACTCAGGTGACTCTTCAGCTTTCTGAATTTCTGGGAAAAGTACACAGCGAATACCATCATTTTCGGAGCTAGGACCACACTTGGAATACGAAGGCTTTACACTGTCTGCGAGACTATTTTCCTTTGATGTGTTTATGATCTACATCCCATGAAAAACATTTCTAGTCATTGTATGGGTGCAAAGATAAATTACTGCACTTTGCTGTTTAGGAGTATGGAGTAGGATAGACCACAGTATGCAATTTGCAGGCTCTGTTTTGGTGGCTATCACAGGCTGGCTTACTCAGGAAGCAGCTGAGGAATTGGAGAGTAAGATGCAAAACCTTTCTTAGGGAGTGCTGCTGGCATAAGCCTCTTGTAAAAGGGGCTGCTGGGTGAGGGTGGGAGGAAGCAGAGCAAGAGGACATCCCAACCTCACAAGCTGCTCTGAAGTCGGGGTGGCCTTGTAGGGGTGTCCTAGATGGGTGTGAGAAGTGAAGCTATACCTTACCAGCCCTGAATACAAGCTAGAACAGGACATGATTGGGGCTTCCAGGACTTTAGCTGAAGCACTTTCCGGAAGAAGCCTGGCAGGTGAGGTGGACTGGCTGCGCTCCCGGTGGCAGGGAGGGCATGGGACTAAACCTTCCACTTGTGTGGAAGGGTTTGCAACGAAGATTCACAAGCACATCAGCCACTGCAGAGCATCCTTCCAAAGCACTGTTGTGGTCCCTGGGAGGCTGAGGATGCTTATGAATTCACTAACTGTTCTTGAGTGCTTCTGTGGCTACCGAAGGTAGCTATGCCCTTAAATGCTGACCTGCGCAAAGCAGACAGGGCACCTACCCCCGTGGAGCTTGCATTCACTGGGGAACAGGCAATTCTCAACTACCTAAAGCTGTGCCAATTCTCAAGGAGAACAAGGAAATTAAAGAATTTTAAGTGTGTGTGTGGTGGGGAGTGGGGACAGGGGAGTGGCTTAGTCTGGATTTTAATGGGGGGAAAAGGGCGTTTTGTTTTGTTTGTTTATTTGTCTGTTTGAGTTAGGGTCTCATGTATCGAAGTCTGGCTTTGCACTCACCCAGTAGCCAGGGATGACCTTAAGTGTCTGATCTTCCTGTCTTCCTGATCTTCCCACCTCCCGAGTGTTGGGATTATAGGTGTGCACCATCATACCAGGTTTCGGCAATGCTGGAGTGCAATCCCATTAGCTCCATGGGTGCTTCCAAACACTCCACCAACTGGGCCACACCTGCAGTCCAGGAGATCTTTTCTTAAAGAAGTTACAATGTTGCAGCCTGCTAAATTTGGGGTTTGGGGTGTGGGGGTGGTGGTGGGAAGTTAGGTTTTACAGGCTAGTAAGATTAGAAGGAAAATAAATAAAAATCTATATATTTTAAAAATCCAATTATACAAATTTTGTAAAGTAAATAGAGAAAGGAATAAATGACCAGTGTTTTGGCTTCTTTGGTAAATTTCCAATGCCTAATCATTGGAGAATATTCAAGTATATGTTGGTCCCCTCTGTAGCCTTGGGTAGGTTTTTAAACCATGAAAACAAATTTGGGGTGAGGGTGGATCATCCAAAGCTAAATGTACATTGAACTACTGCTCAGGAGGAGAGCTGCGATTTGAAGACCAAACTCAACGTGGCTTAGAGGAAATCAATAAGCCAAATAAAACCAACTGAAAGCTGAGAACAGAGCATGATCTAGCGACAACAGTTAGTAACACACACTGTGCCCAGGCTGTGGCATTTCCTTCCCTTTATCAGGGCAGACATGTTTGCCGGTTTCCTTTTAAGACAGAGGGCTTGAGAACCTGTAGCTAGGGCACCCAGTTTTACATTCTCTTCACCAGTCTATAAATAACAACCAATACCCTTAACCCCGCACACTTCCCCAGGCCTCTGTCTCCACACTGTTCCTTATCTGACTTTCTGTTTGATGCCGTGTTTATCACCATCTGGAGAGCTCGCTGTGAATTATGTACACTCACCTGTGTTGTATACACACTACGTGTTTCCCCCAAAATGTATAAATGTATGTGACACGATCTCCACAAATAATTATTGAAATTGTGTTTATAATTACCAAAGAATGCAGCAGGCTTATAGGAACACAAAAAAGGGACTTAATATGAGATTTAAGAAATTCATATGTGGGTAAACGTGTAACACACATATTTCTTTAACTTGTCTCTTGTTATTGGAAAGATAAACTTTTTACTGAGAGTGACTAGAAATTTTACCAGAAAGATGAACTCCTTATTTCCCTCACTGCCACATCTCCTGGCCCTGGACAAGTATTTATCAAATAATCAAAAGAAGAAAAAAACCAAGCTTATTAAGAGATATAGGGTGACATCATGTAATTTAATTTATGGTTGGCTACAATGTAACTGGGTCACTGATGGGAGGTCCAAGTGTTTACATGTTATCAGTATGCTATACTAAGGAAAGCATTATTGGTTTTTGCTAGTATATCTCTCTCATTTGTCATGCTATTATCTGATCTTGCCATGATATCCTCTGCCTCAAAGTAGTTATTTGTGGGACAGGAAAGTCACCCACTGAATGAAAAGGAGGACATGACCGCTCCTAGGTCTGGCTGAGAAGTGTTTTATTGTAGATATGAGAGAGATAGTACAGCCGGAGGCAACTGGGAAGGTCTAGACCGCACTGGACCTCGAGAAGAGAAAGAAGTGGGGAGATCGAGAGAGGAAGAGAAGAGAGAGGGAGGAGAGGACAAGCAGACCAAGAGAGGAGCCTCAGACCAAGAGACCAAAAGGTCAAAAGTGAGCCAGCCAGGAGCCAAGAGGCCCAGAGGGAGAGAAGAACCAAGAGAGCTAGTCGCCAAAATGGCTGGTTTATACAGGAAAGAGAAGCTGGGGGGAGGAAGGTGAAGCCCAGCTCCTGGGCTGGAGAGGTTTAGGGGTGAGGATGAGGTGAGATGGGCTGGGAGGAGCCACAGGTACTGAGTGTGACTTGCCCCCGGTTTCTTTGGAAACTGGCACCTCATATGGTTTCTCTTAGACGGCTACATGGAGAGTTGCGATGTGCAGGTGTACCTCACCATCTCACTTCAAGAGTCTTTTTGTTTTTTCCCTTCAATCTCCTATCTCACAGCTTTCTTGCTATTGCGGCTTTAAATGCTCAATGCTACTTTTCTGACCTTAGGTGTAGCTACATATGGTCATACGACTTCATTTTGATCAATGATCTGTAAGCAAAAGTCTGTATGTGTATGACTGGAGAGCACCACGGGAACAGATGAAGCCAGAGAACAGGTTGGCCTTGACCCTTTTCTGGGTCCCTGCTTTGATGGTACACACGGTGATGTCTACTGGACAGTGGCGATCTGCAACCCTCAGGCAATCCGTCTGAGGAGAAAACAAAGCCACAGCTAAAAATGGCAGTGAGACGTGGGAGATGGCTTGGCTGGCAAAGTTCCTGCTACCTACGCACGAGGGCCTGAATCAGATCGACAGCATCCACATCAGCAGCAGGCAAAAAGTCTGTACCACCAGCGATGGGGGGTGTGGTGGGGGAAAGGAGATGGTAGATTCTTGGAGCTCATTGGCTACTCAGTCTAGCCCAACTAATGAGCTCCAGGTCCAATGGGAAACCCGGCCTCATAACATATAGTGGGGAATGATTGATGAAGATACTTGAAGTCTACCTCTGGCGCCCTATGCCAGTGAACACACATGCATGCTCACTTGCACACCCAAATGAGCACATATATGCATGCACATATGTACCCTTGCACATACACATACGCACGCACGCACCACACACAAAACTGGAAGACTGTGGATACTGGACGCCTGAGTCATCAGTGTTTGCATTGAGCCGCTGAGCCAATGTCTATGACCATTCACCTCTGCATGTCTGCCGCGGAGAGAAAAAGAAATGCTTATTGGTTGAAACCATTGTCGAGTTGATTTTCTGTTCATCGTGCTGAATATGATCTCACTCAGGGTCAGGCCATCCTAAGTTCTCTTTCAGAGGAAGATCTGGGGTGTAAACCATAGCGCAAAAGAGGAAAATACAGAAGCAGAGGCTACCTCTCAAGCACAGAGGGTAGAAAATTAGCAAGCGAAGAAGATCCCTTGTTTGGGTGGGAGATGGGGGTCAAGAACAAGGCCTTGTCCAGGTCTCACGGCTGCAGCAGCTGGAAGGCTCGGTGGAGCTGCTGTATACTCTAAGCTCCCCGAGTCTAGTTCACTGGTTACTTTTCTCTTCTGGCTTTCCCATTTGTCTTTACAACATCCCCCGTCACCTGGAGTGTCAGATCTCTGCAGCTACAAGAGCCCAGTGAGCATAATTTGCAGCCCTGTGTGGTCCGTCTCCCAAAAGGATAGCTACTGTGCACTTTGAGAAGACAGCTCCCAGCATCACTCAAAATACTGGGTTCAAACAAAGAAAATGTTGCTCAAAAGAACTGAGTGACCTAGAGAAGTACAGTCTGTTCCCAGTGCCCCATTACTTCCTGTTTCAGTGCGTACCACCCCCCACCCCCTTCCCCTCCACACACCAGAAAGGGAACTCAGCAAGCACTCTTGTGCCCCACATTGTTCTCTGTCCTCTTCTGGCAGACAAGGAGGCTCCTCCTGGCCAGAGCTGCTCTGATTCCAGCTGCTTTAAACCTTCTCTCTGCTGCTCTTACCTGTCACCAGCATCCAGGCAGATGGTTTCACACGGATTTGGGTACCAATGAAATCAATTAATTTACTGGCGTCAGAATTTGATAACTTTGGGACTGGCACTCCACATAGATGCGCTGACCCTAAAATAGTTCTTCATGGGCTGAAGAATGAATTTTCAGAAATGGTGTTGGCGAGTGGGAGTCATAAAAAGAAAGCAGAAATCAATATATTTTTTCCCCTGGGCACAGGAGTCTTTGAACTGCTATCAAATCATGATGTGACAGCTCGTCTTTTCAAAAGTGGGGTGTGCCTTTTCTTAGTTATGTTGGCAGTTGGGTGATTGGATTCGAACAGGAGACATGTTTCATTTGGTCGAGAGAGAGTAAGAGGGCACGCGTTCCTGCTTAGTGTTTAATATCGGCGTTATTACTATTGTACTGGATGTCAGTGGTGGTCTCCACAGGAGGCATTTCTTAGCTGTAGCAAACAAGAGGCTTTCTTTTGTCCTTTGTTTGTTTGTTATGGAGACAAAGTCTGCCCTAAAACTGGACTAGTCCCGAACTCTTAATCCTCCTGCCTCAGCCTACTAGCGTTAGGATACAAATGCATGTGGCTAGGCCTGCCTCCTCTTGTCTAAATTCTTACCTCAGGTGTCAGTCACCCCGCACCTGCTGGTGCCTGCAGCAGGCAGGCAAGGGGACCTCCCAAAGTCAGCCTAGACCTTTCCATCTTTGAGACAGAAAGAGAAATCTATTCTTCCTTAGTACAGACAAACCCTCCTTGGAAATACAAAGAAAGAGAGACCTAGCTGCTTATGGTCAGAAGTCTCAATTGATTTCCTCAAGAAGGCAAGACTGGAACTCCGAGCTTTGTGCCTGTCAGGTGTCTCTGTGGTCCTGAGGCTTCACCACCCTCCCATCCCCCAACCCTGACCCTTGACCTTG